GAGGTCGCAGTGAGCTGAGATCACGCCACTGCATTCCAGCCTGGTGACAGAGTGAGACTCTATCTCAAAAAAATAAAGTAAAATAAAATAAAATGAAATAAAATAAAATAAAATAAAATAGGGCAGGCACAGGGGCACATGCCTGTAATTCCAGCACTTTGGGAGGCCAAGGTGGGTGGATCACCTGAGGTCGGGAGTTCAAGACCAGCCTGGCCAACATGGCAAAACCCCGTCTCTACTAAAAAATACAAAAATTAGCCAGGCATGGTGGCGGGCGTCTGTAATCCCAGCTACTTGGGAGGCTGAGGCAGGGAGAATTGCTTGAATCTGGGAAGTGGGGGTTGCAGTGAGCCAAGACGGCATCATTGCACTCCAGCCTGGGTGACAGAGTGAAATTCCATCTCAAAAAAATAATAAAATAAAATAAAATGGTTAATTCTATGTTACACACTGTTTGTCCAAAAATATAATTTATCTTGTGTCAGGCTCACAGCCATGGAACTGGAGGCAGGGACCTGGAGTATATGGGGAAGCCTGTGGCTGGGCACCCAACCCCACTCTTGGAACTGTTTCTGGGGTTGCAACAGAAACTCACCTTTCTCACAAAGGCTGCCCCCATAGCTGGGGAGGCAAAGGCAGACAAAGCCGTTGACCTCATCGATACAGGTGCCTCCATTCTCACAGGGGCTGCAGAGGCAGTCATCAATGTCTGGCAGAGAGGAGAAGAGATTGAGTCAGAGGTCAGCTTCCCCTTGGCTCTGAGCCCCCACTGGAAACTAAGCAGAAGATGGGGTCATAGTCCTACCATCCATCCTGGACCTGAGTGCAGCAGTCGCAGTCTGCACAGATGGCCCAGTGACTCTGCAGGCAAGGGGGTGGAACCTCATACAATTAACATAAATTAGCATTAATGAGAGCAGATGCCATTGGGGCAGCTGAGAGCCAGGATGTGCAGACTATTCTCCCTGACTCTAGAGAAGTGAAGATTATACTCTCAAAAACAGGCTCATAGAAAGCTGAAGTTGGAGTCTCTTTTACGCATTTGCAAAGACTTGCACAGAGTCACAAAGCTGTTTGTGGGTAAAGCTAGATATTCATTGAGTTCTTCTTCTACCGGTCCATGTGTAGACAGTGCTTGAGGCACGTATGGCACTGGGCAAGTCACTTTCCCTCCTTGAAACTCAGCTTATTTTTTTGAAAATGGTAATAATAATGGGCTCCTACTCAAGGGTGATTGTGAGTAGGGAAGCAATAGAAGAGCTCAATAAATTATATCATTTATATTTATTGTTATAATTCTGTAATCAGTCTTGTGATTATGAAGGTTGTGAAGTCAAGATGATGCACAGAGCTCAAGAAATTATGTCACTTATACTTGTTGTTGTAATTTCATAATTGGTAGTATTTCTTGTGTTGGGCTTTGAAGCTAGCACCCAACAGTTCTGGTGGCAGTGCTTATGCCTCCCACCCACCCAGGAAAGGGCAGGATCCCCAAAGGGCCTTTGCAGGGAGGAGTCTCGGACATATCATTCCTTTGTCTTTCCCTTCCCGCCTCTGACTGGTAGTAATGGGAGACAGAACACCAGAGATGAAAGCTCAGCTGTTTGATTCTGGATCCACTAACTGGGCTGATTTAGCTGGATGTTAGGACTGGGGTTTGGGAATGGAGCATCTGAAACCAGCTTTTTGTGATCTCTGAATTCTGAGGGCATGGCTGCTGGAGTACAACCCAAGGCTCTAGAGTCAAACAAATTCAGATTCAGATCCTGAGTCTGGGGTACTCACCAATCTCACAGTTCTCTCCGGCGAAGCCCTGATCACAGCTACAGCCATACATGGTGCCATTGGCATTACATGTCCCTCCATGAAGACAAGGGTTGTTCTCACAGGGATCTGAGTGCGCTGCAGGATGGATGGGTAGTATGGGGAAGAGTCAAACCACAGATCTTTTGCCTTCCTGGAATCAAGACTCCAGGCCCCCAAACTGCTCTAATCAAACCCTCCCTATGGAGTCCTCTTTATAACTTCCCCAACCAGTGGTCACCAACTCCCTCTCATATGCCCCCTGTTATGAGGAGTTTACTCCTTCCAGAAACTGCCCCAAAGCATCTGTGGACTTCCCTGACTGCAGCAAAGTCCTTCCTCAGCCTGAACTGGAATGGGGCTCCCAGAGACCAGGGCTGCCTGAAGGACCTCGTAGAATGTTTCTCCCAGAACACAGGCTTCTGTGTCCTCCCTGACTTAAGTGTCCTTCCCCTCCTTTGGGCACACCCTGCTCATCACTGTGCTTCTCACAAACTGGGACACAGGAGTGGACATAGGTTCTAGCCTGGGAGACATAGTGAAAAAAAAAAAAAAAAAAATCCTCATCCTGCCCCAGCCAACACAGATCCTTTCAGGGCAGCATCTGACCATTCCACTGCACAGTGGAATTAAATTTTTAAAAAATTAAATTAAAAAACAAAAAAGAGGCCAGGCACCGTGGCTCATGCCTGTAATCCTAGTACTTTGAGAGGCCAAGGCAGGTGGATCACCTGAGGTCAGGAGTTTGAGACCAGCCTGGCCAAC